GAATCCAAACGCTAAACTTTATTTTTAATGAAGTTCCAGGCCGCGTCAGTAAGAACTTGGTCCTTTGTACACTTAATTTTATCGCGGATTAGTTTACAATCAAGGCACAATTCTATGCAGGATTTTCAGAAAGATTGAAACTAAAAGACGAAGCTATGTGACTGTATTGGATCTGATGTCGCACCACACTGTGAGTAACTGTTTTTGGTCACTGTTGCTTGTCTGTTATTACATATCATTTGATATTTACTGAGTAGTTATGCGTCCATCTGTGAGGGATGTAAGCTGTCAAACATACACAACTGTTAACCAATCATAGCAGTGGGCATTTACTTCTAAGTCTACAATCTGCCACGCCTATTCAAACAGAGCGTTCTGATGAGGAGGGTTAAAACAGGACAGAAAATAGCTTATTACTTCTAAATGATGTTTTTGATGTAAAAATCTTGATATCATTATAAGTGGACCTCACAAACTAAAAAAACAAAGGCAGTTCATGACCCCTTTAAAAACGTTCCTTCTACATGCTTCTTGGAATGCAGAAGTAATTAAACACTCGAATATGTGTGTTAACTAATAGATGCTACTAAAATACAAATCGTTCAAAATTAAAACTGGATATGAAATATCATGCATAATGTGGTTGGATTGCACCAAATTTTCAGCTTGTTTACAACTAATCAGCGAGTTGTAGACGTGTAGATGGACACCTGATCCCATTAGCCTCTCTTCGGACGATCACTATCCTTATCTATAAAATGGCTGAGGCCAAAAATAGGAAGAAAAATTAATAATCAGGTTGATTTGCTCTTTTATAAATATAGAAGCCCTCTGGGCACGACTTATTAAAGTTTTAAAAGAGAATTAACTCCTGCAGCAGGTGATGCTGAACTTTTAATTGCTCATCAAAGAATTAATAGTGGGCAAGCGTAGGGTTTGTGAAATTAATAAACATAATATTAATAATTGAAAACTGAGTTACTGAAATAACTTAATTATGTTACAGCACATAAAAACACTGGAGTGAATATTAACATGTGGATCTAGTTTGCATGCTAGCAGACATCAAGCAATTATGGACTTTAAAGGAACAGTTCATAATGAAAATGTGCTGAGAATGTGCTCACCATCAGGCCGTCCAAGATGTAGATGAGTTTGTTTCTTCATCAGATTTGGAGAAATATAGCATTGCATCAGTGTCTCAGCGATGGATGCTCTGCAGTGAATGGGTGCCGTCAGAATGAGAGTCCAAACAGCTGATAAAAACATCACAATAATCCTCAAGTAATCCACACCACGCCAGTCCATCAGTTACCATCTGGAGAAGACAAAAGCTGTGTGTTTGGAAGAAACAAATTCAAGACATTTCTAAGTTAAATACAAGTCCATAATTAATAGTAGCGCCAGTGGAAAATTAGTCTGTTCTGAATCAGGAGAAACATCTGCACAGATTAAGCACCAGCTTTTGGCTTCACAAGATGTTAACTGATGGACTGGCGTGGTGTGGATTACTTGTGGATTATTGTGATGTTTTTAATCAGTTGTTTGGACTCTCATTCTGACGGCACCCATTCACTGCAGAGCATCCATTGCTGAGCAAGTGATGTATTGCTGTAATGGGCTGTGATTTGGTCTTTGTCCATGTATTTATTTCAGTGTTTTGTTTGAAGCACTTGAGTGCAGTGAGTTATGTCTATTCATGAGCCGTGATCACTGTACCATGTGGTGAATTCGTTTTTCATGGCTCTATTGTGGGACTATTGATGTTTCTAAATGGTGTGTTAAACCGACACCAGACTGTGGTTGGCAGGTTTACATGTCAGTCAGGTGTCTCTTCCTCTCTGAATGGGCAGTTCTTTGCTAATAGACCGCGGGAGATCTCTTACCAGTGACGTTAGTGCTAGTGCTGCAGGCCGTACGCGGTCAGTTCGTGAAAACGGCAGGAAATTTAATTTTATGTAATGTAAACAATTATAGATCGGAGTCAATGTTCTGCCCACACAAACACAAAACTATTACTGTCACATCACCCTACAGCACAAGAGCCTGTGTGTGTGTGTGTGTGTGTGTGTTATTTCCTGGGTCGTGGGCCTTTCCCATAATTCCTCCTGAGTCTCCTGTGTTGGCTTATTGCTTTGTTTTCCTCCCTCTTGCTGGTTTCTGTGTTTATTAGCACATTAGCTCCTTGGAGGCTCAGAGTATCACAGACTCACAGAAGCAGCCAGATAATTTCAGCCCTTTATTTGTGTTTGGAGAACTGACAGCAGCTGATCATTCGGTCTGTTTACTCAGAATAAGAGCATGCACATTTCTGCTCTTATTCTGATCCGTTCGTCAGTGCATGCTATTGCAAGTAAAGAGTTTGTTTTGTAATATTGCTGAATGATTTGAACAAACAATTAATGTGATTCCTATGAAATACATCACTCTGTGTATTGAAAATGAATGGATATATTGAATATGTATGCACTTTGGAGCATGCTGTGCAGTTTAATTGCAGCTTTTTGCAGTTGAATACTCATTTAAAGCCATATTGTGTTTTTGATTTTATTGATTAATTGAGCAGCAGACATTCTTCATAAAATTAGAATGTATTTGCTTATTTAATTGCTTGCTTGCTTTCATCTTTTTAATAATTGCACTAAAGCTGTGTAAAGCAACCTGTTTCTGTGTTTATAGATGAGCAGGTATTGGAATGAAAATAGCAGTTTGGTTAGTGGTGTTTCTTGTGTGTGGGTGTATATATATATAATATATTAAAATTATATATATATATTAAAAAATAAATAAAATACACACAAATAATACTATAAAATAATAGTACCTCAGTGGTGTGGATGTTTTCTAGTTATTGTACAGGTGTGAAGTGTAGGTTGTCGTTAATATACACAATAAACTATAATAAACGTGTTTATTGATTTTACAGAATTAGAGTTGAAGGTGTAGATACCATAGCAACACGTCTGGCATAATAGCAGCAAGCAGTGAAAACATATTCTGCCTTTGAACCTCTAGTAATCATAATCATGACAAAAACAAGAGGGTTTCTAGCACTCCTGGCACTCATAATAATAATAATAATAAACATATATCTTGAATCCCTAACAATGCAGACAGCACGTCTTCACTCTTGAACATCTGATGATGCTTCTGGAGAAGAAGTCTTCCAAGGTTAAACTCAAACTCTTGTGCTTTTTGATGAGAGTTTACTTTGAGAAGAAATTCAGAAGTAGATTTGATAATAAAGTGAAATAAGAGAAATGTCTGCATTAGAGCCGCTAGATCTTTATATAACTGTGCGATTTTGTATCTCAGTATGAAGTCGTTTTCTTCACGGTGCTGCTTGGTTGATTTTTATTTAAGCAATTTGCTGATAGATAATGTGTTGCTATGTATAATAATGGTCATTATTACAGGAAATATCATTTCTGATTTAATAATAATAATAATAATAAACATATATCTTGAATCCCTAACAATGCAGACAGCACGTCTTCACTCTTGAACATCTGATGATGCTTCTGGAGAAGAAGTCTTCCAAGGTGAAACTCAAACTCTTGTGCTTTTTGATGAGAGTTTACTTTGAAAGAAATTCAGCAGTAGATTTGATAATAAAGTGAAATAAGAGAAATGTCTGCATTAGAGCCGCTAGATCTTTATATAACTGTGCGATTTTGTATCTCAGTATGAAGTCGTTTTCTTCACGGTGCTGCTTGGTTGATTTTTATTTAAGCAATTTGCTGATAGATAATGTGTTGCTATGTATAATAATGGTCATTATTACAGGAAATATCATTTCTGATTTAAATATCATTTGTTGTGTTCTAAAATAAAGCAATAAGCTCCAAGAAGCCGTGGTTTACAGTGAATTTATAACAGCTAAGGGGAGTTGTTAGGCACGACGCAGAGCTTAGCTGTTACAAATTCACTGTAAACCACGGCTTCATGGGGCTTATTGCTTTTATTAAAACGGTTATTCCATATACGTAGCAAGGTTTCACAAAATAAAACAAAGCAAATAATATGTAATGATATTATTAAAAACATTTGCTGCATCCCAATTCGCCTACTTATACTATGCCCTAAAAGTATGTACTCGTTTTTGTGAAGAAAAAGTACATACTTTTGAGTATGTAGCAGAATAGTAGGCATGCTTTGGGACATACTACTTCGTCATAACTGTGTCTTTAACGGACGCTCTGTTGCTTAGTTACATGCATTCTGTCACTGTTTAAACTGCACTGCCAATCATCTCATCACAGTTAACAAAATTCACATTTCATTTCATTTAATTTCCTACCGTATTGGAGATAAATGAAGAGGCACATTGATCTGCCAGTCGCAGGTCTATCATGCCAAGAACTCTCTTCATATGTTTGCATAATGATGCATTTAAAAGTATCATTATAACAATGTTCACAATGTTGCTGCAGATGAAATATAACGCACATAACATTAAATACATATTTTTAATCAAGTTAGACCTTACATTACAGTTACACCTTTCTCTGCCTGTCCGTCGGTCTTGCATAACCAACATGTTTGTAGTTTTTAAACACTTTTTATGCGTGTTTGTAGTTCTAATTGAATCCTCATCCACCACGCAATGTGTTGTGGGCAATATTAGACATTAGAGTGTGCATCGATCTGCACTTCGAATTTTAATCTCAAGTAGTAGACCATCCGGGAATCTTTGGCATACACTTTTCAACATACTACGCTTTGGGACATACTAATTCTATTTTCGAATACCATTTAAGATGGATAGTGTGCGAATTGGGACGCAGCAATTATTCTTCTGACAGCAAAGTAGTTCCTCAGAAATGGTTGTGGTTGCAACAAATTGGTTGCCGAGCAACACACAGAAACAAAGAGGTGTATGTTTGTAGAGTAACTTACAACAGCTTCGAACCTGGCTCAACCAATCAGAATCAAGGACCGGAACTATCCGTTTTATATTAATTTTATAATTTAAACTCTATTTTTTCTTCTGATTCCAGAAACTTCCTCGTCAGGAAACATCTTAATGGACACGACGACGACACGCACCACGACTCGCCCGGTCATCGTCACCATGACGACCGCCTCCACCTCCAGCAGCACCACCATGACCAGCAGCACCCGATCTCCCTCCACGACGCCGGCGGCCCCACGCAGCACCACCACGGACCGGCAGCCGGCGGCTCTTCCCGAGGTCACGGCACGCTCTGACCCGTCCTCCGTCCTGCCCAACATCGCCGTGGAGTTCTGCAGCCCCGTCACCGACTCCTCCATCACCTGGCCCAAAACACGGCAGGGCCTCGTGGCCAAGCAGCCCTGCCCACTGGGAACCGTCGGTACGTTACAGCAGTCCAGAGCAGCCGTGTAGTGATTGTTCACCAGCAGAGGGCGCTGAGGGATGCACTGGTTACTAAGTTGCGCCAATACTTGGACAGGAACAGAGCGCTATTATCGTCAATTAATCAAAAGAGACACCTGTTATCGCTTTCAAGATATTGAAATATTTTATTCATTATTAATTAGTGCTGTCAAACGATTAATCGCGATTAATCGCACCCAAAATAAAAGTTTTTGTGTACATAATATATGTGTGTGTACTGTGTATATTTATTATGTATATATAAATACACACACATGCATGTATATATTTCAGAAAATTATGTTATGTATATATATTAAATATATTTATATATAATGTAAATTATATCAATATAAATAAATATAGACATGTAAATACATGTAAATATTTTCAAAATATACAGTACTGTATGAGTGTGTATTTATATATACATAATAAATGTACACAGAACCCACACATATATTATGCAAACAAAAACTTTTAACTTTTATTAATCGCGATTAATCGTTTGACAGCACTATTATTAATATATTAACTATTTTTGTTAGAGTTATACTCTTTGTTTGTTATGCAAGCAATTATTTCAGCCATGAAATAAATGTTAAAATATATGCTCAAATTTAAAAAAAGTCACAATTATGATTAATAAAAATGTTAAAATATAATTACGAGAAATAAACTAAGATTTAGAAAATAAGAAATAAAACAAATTGGCAGTTTTTCTCTGAATTCTGAGTTGCATCTCGCAATGCTGACTTTTTCTCACAATTCTGAGAACATTTGTGATTATAAACTTTTTAGAGAAAAATAGTCAGAACAATGAAAAAGAAATATGTAATTTAGACTTTTTTTAAATTTTGAATTTATATCTCACAATTTTTCTCAGAATTCTGAAGACAAAAAATGTCAGATTTTCTAGAATTTTGAGATAAAAAAAGATAAATGCAAGATATAAAGTCAGAAATTGTGAGTTTATGTCTCACAGTTATTCTCAAAAAAAGTCAGGATTATGAGAAACAAACTAAAAAAAAAAGTCAGAACTGCAGGATAAACTTAATTAGAAATAAATTCCATATTTGCGAGATGTAAACTCAGAATTGGGGAGGGGTGGGGGGATCAGAATTGTGATCAGAGAAAAATTGCGTGATATAAACTCAGATTTTTGAGAAAAATTCAGAATTACAAGCAATGAACTCAGAATTCTGACTTTTTTTTTCATAGCCCTGACTATTTTTCTCTAAATTCTAAATTACATCTCACAATTCTGAGTTTTTTTTCTCAGTTTTGACTTTTTCCTCACAATTATTTACTATTTATCATAGTGTGATTATTAGTTCATTTTAATATAATCAGTTTGACTTGCAAACATAATGATTATAAATAATGTTTAAAAAATAATCAGTAAGGCTAATAGTAATAATAGTTATTATTATTTAACAAAACATGAAGAATGTGTGGTCCCTCTATTTTAATTGATAGATATTAACAAATAACATTTCAGAAATCTGCTTATAACCATGAACATCCTAACAGCTGCATAGCGACGCCTTGCCCTGTTTCTACAGAGCAAATAAGCCCTGGTCACTGCATGTTTAACAGCTTGTTTTGGTAACCCAGGTGTGGTGTTTTTCTCTGTGAGTGTGTGGATGTGCAGCAGACGAGCGACGCACAGCTTGAGCACAAATAACACGAACGCAGCACACAAATCAAACACAAACTCGCCTTTCACCTCGGTCTGTCACTCTCCTTCCTCTCCTTTTCTTTCTCTAAAGTTCAGCTCTTCCCTTCATTGCTCTCACTGCTCATATCCAAACGTTTCCAGGCCTCCGTCTGTTTCCATGGTTTCGGGTGATTGGCAGTTTCTTCATGATTAGTTGTTTGTTCTTGGATTTGTCCTCTGGGCGTTTCTCAGAGTAACACATTCACATCCTCATAAACTCATTCAAAACAAAAACACTAGCTTTTGATTGACGTGTGTGTATTTTGTAACACCTCGTTATATAATATCATTCAAAAGTTGAGAAATTAATACTTTTATTTGGCAAGGATGCGTTAAATTCATCAAAAAGTGACAGTAAATACATTTATAATGTAACAAAATATTTCTATTTCAAATAAATTCTGTTCTTTTGAACTTTCTATTCATCTGTGAATCCTGAAAAATTAAATATATCACGGTTTCCACAAAAATATTGTGCAGCACAACTATTTTCAACATTGATAATAATCAGAAATGTTTCTTGAGCAGCAAATCAGCATATTAGAATGATTTCTGAAGATCATGTGACACTGAAGACTGGAGTAATGATGCTGAAAATACAGCTTTGATCACAGAAATAAATTACAGTCTACAATATATTCACATAGAAACAATTATTTTAAAGAACACTTACAAGGATACAAGGATTAATACAATATTGTAACATTATTTTTATTAAAATATTTCGCCACATGTAGACTATTGGACTATATTATTTGGTGGAGACAGTGTTTATTTTGATTGCTATTACTGTTAGTAATGCATGTGTTTATTGAACATAATATTTTATCACACTGCTGTTGTGCGTGTGTGCCGACAGTACATCTGGAGTGTGTGTGTGTGTGTGTCAGTGATCTCACCTGAGTGCTGATACAGTCACCCGACTGGAAGAATATGACATTTTTCCCTCTTCTGTCCTACTAATTAGAGCTGAGAATTCTGTCGTCTCTTTCCATGAGCTTTAATTGACCTTTACCAGTGCTCTCCAGGGAACGAACACACACATACACACACTCTCTCTCTCTCACACACACAAACACACATCCCTGCATCTGGCTGTAGTTAGAGCTCACACTCACACACACACACACACACACACACACACATACACACTCACACACACACACACACGCTGCAGTGATTTTATCTCCATCAGAGGAAGTAATTACACATTATTTTATGATCACAGACGTTTGAAAGTGTTTCTTGTCATCTGTGGAAGCAGCAGTGAAGGACGCTGATGTGTGTGTGTTTACGGTGTGAAATGAACACTCAATAACGGCTGCTTTCTGTGTGCAGGGACGGCTGTGTTCACCTGTCAGGGGCCCGAGGGACTGTGGGACCAGCAGGGGCCCGACCTCAGCAACTGCACCTCCACGTGGGTCAACATCATCAACCAGAAGGTTTGAGAAACACACACACACAGACACACAATCAGACATTTAGGAGATAATGTACATTTAGCCTGCCATTTTCACTAATTATACAACAGTTGGATCTGTCATTTGATTGGTTAAGCCGGTGTTGTTATTGTTAACTGAAACTGTTCTAAAAAAAACGGTTGTGAAATGTCCGTGCCAAATACTGAAGAAGTTTTCTCAGTATACAAGCTCAAAAATTATAACTAAGAAATTGCGGACATAATCGTAAAAAATTACAAAATGATTTTATTCAAAGGCCCAAAAAGTGCAACATCCTAACTTTTGTGTAAATCTGTAACATTTTGCCTTTGCACTAAGCATGTTGCACTTTTTTAAGAATCGTAACATATTGTCTTTGCACTGAGCGTGCTGCACTTTTTTGTTAACGTTTTTCCTTTTCACTGAGCGTGTGGCATTTTATTTGGAAATTGTAACGTTTTCGTGTTGCACTTTTTTCTAAACGTTTTGCATTGTTGTTTTGGCTGTTGTCTTTGCACTGAGCATGTTGCACTTTTTTAGGAATCTGTAACATTTTCTCTTTGCACTTTTATTAATCAGTAACATTTTGCCTTTGCACTGAGCATGTTATGCTTTTTTGTTACATTCATGTATGCAAGCTTCTCTTGTTGGACGTATTTAAAACTATTAAAAATGCTTTTCTTTCATTGAAATACAGCTGAGATAAAATGTAATGTAAGATAGTAGTTACATTAAAATTTGCCATATTTTGCAAAGCTTACATACTATATACTGCAGAAATAGCAAATTAACTGAATAAATACTTTTCACAAGTCATTTTAAATCGTGTTGTGATTGTTACCTGAAATTAAAAATAAAACTATGAAACGTGTTTTTAGTAAATGAATTAAAGCTGAAATAAAATATAAATATTAGGTGAAAAACAAACAAAAATTTGAAATACCTAGAAAACCTAATAAAAATGTGGCACATAAAATTACTAATACTTAAAAATATTAATAAGTAATATAATATTATATAAATAATGCTAAAATGACACTGGGCTGAATATGTCAGATTTGGTTATAGTGTAGACTATAACCAGACTTGTTAGTAACCAACCGTGACTTATTATATTTGTCACTTTCTGTTGTTCACATTTATTTACATTGTTTTGTTCATATTCCTCAAGCTATGTTCTTATTTTTATGAGAATTACTGTAAGTCTATTTAAAAGAGGAATGCTAAGGCATGTGTAGCCTTTAACATCACATAGAAAACTACAAGTAATGTCTTTCAGTGTTTTCCTGCTAACTTTTACTTGTTCTTCATGTACTGCTGACATGAAGGCGCTGTTCGCTCAAATAAATCCTACTGTTTTACAAATGTGAAATGAGTGTGTGTATGTGTGTGTGTGTGTGTGTATGTGTTTGTAGACCCAGCAGGCAGCCCAGAAGACAACATCTTTAGTTGCGTCTCATTAGCAAATAAACACATCTCTTCCTTTAGCTGGAGGAGTGTTGTGATTAAACTCAACACGAGAGAGCTTGTGTTTTTGCCACGACTTGAAAGAACAGAGCTGCACTGTCTGGGAAGTCAAGAGTCGTTCACTTCTCAAATAAATGCAGCCTTGATGAGCATAAGAGATATCTTTAAAAAAACATTACAAGTCTTACTGAGCCCAAACTTTTGACCGGGAGTGTGTGTGTATATATATATATATATATATATATATATACGATTCTCTGCAGATCCATCAATCAATATATCATGATCATAATTCCCACCTTCAGTGATGGTAAATTTCTCTGTTTTGACTCTATACATAGCTAACACAGATAAAACATGAAGCTAATAATTAAACCAGTGTTCAGTTTATTATAAAAAGCTACACATAATACATTTATGTGTCATTTTATTTTATGTAATATCTGTATTAGGTGACAATAGGATGTTATTACAAACACTCTAAGTGAGATTTGAGCAGAAATATGTATTAATGTATTAAATTAATCTCACACTGTCACTGAAATAGATGAATGGTGCGTGTTGACTTTTGAAAAACCCTGCATGCATGGATTGATGCACCAGGATCACAAATCCTGGACTGTAAATCCTCTTTTTAAAGCGTATAAATAACTTGCATTCATATTGTCATCCATGCATTGACTGGGACTCTAACCCGTGATGACCTTGGTGTTGTTTATCGTCACGCTCTGCTGTTTGAGCTGCAGGAACATTAACACCTATTCCAACACCTTCAGTTCTACTGACCGTCATCAACAAACAAACACACACCTGCAGAAAAAACGCTATACCGAATCACTTCATTCAGAGCGTTCACGTAAATGAAAGTCATCCATGCATTGACTGGGACTCTAACCCGTGATGACCTTGGTGTTGTTTATCGTCACGCTCTGCTGTTTGAGCTGCAGGAACATTAACACCTATTCCAACACCTTCAGTTCTACTGACCGTCATCAACAAACAAACACACACCTGCAGAAAAAACGCTATACCGAATCACTTCATTCAGAGCGTTCACGTAAATGAAAAAAAAAAAAAAACTTAATTTTCTTGTAGAGAAATGTTTAGATAATTTTTTTTTCAATGTTAAACACATTCCCTTATGCCAGTGTAACATGCAGAGACAGCTGCTAATAGCTTATGTTTGTTATCAGTTTGGACTCACTGTGTGTGTGTGTGTGTGTGTGTGTTGTAGATCCGAGCGGGTGAACCTGCGGCCATAATCTCCCGTGAGCTTTCCGAACAGACCAAGGGTCACATGCACGCGGGTGACATCACCTACACCGTCCGGGCCATGGGTCACCTGATCGACCTGCTGGATGTCCAGCTCAGGAATCTCACCCCCGGGGGAAAGGACAGCGCCGCCCGGAGCCTCAACAAGGTACTGCATCTGACATACAGCACTATAGTATATGTCAAGTCAAATGTATTAGTGTAGTGCTATAAACACTGTTTCAGAGCAGCTTTACATAAAATCATGATGTTGGTGTTTATAGTATCTTAATATCTTCATGCCTTAAAGTTGTGTAGAGCTGAGGGATAACATTTTGCAATTTGAAATCATTCATACTAGAGCCCGACCGATATATCGTTTTGCCGATTTTATCGGCCGATATGAGCCTGTCGCAGATATATCGTATCGGCGAATATGCCACTGATATGACAATTTTTTTTTACAGAACATAAAACGCAGATAAAATGCTTGTAAATGGTGTAATTACATAGTTTGTCCAACAGAGCACGCTCCATTGTTTGCTACTGGCGACCTGGATGAAACACTTTTAAAGCTTAAGTGTATGGAATACCATTGAAACTTTGAACGGCCATATCTCCGTAACGGCGCAGCGGATCCGCACCTAATTCGGGGGATCCCTTCAGATCGAGGAAGCCTCTCGAATGCCGAATCGAGTGTACGTCTCGAGGCCCCCTTTCGAATGAGACCACCACCGCGTCGATAGCCCATGGGGTCCGGGAGTTACAGGCGGTTAAATTCGCGGTCGGGCACTGACCGATCTGGCGATCCCGGGGGGCGTTCGAGAGGGATCCCCCGAATTTGGTGGAGATCCGCCACCGCGTTTGCGAGATAGTGACACCAGCCAACACTTTCACTTCAGTAAGGAGGTTTCTTGTTCAGGCAGCAGCATTCAAGCGTTGTCTTATTCGACTGTAAATGCCCTACGAAGTAGACTTCACATGATATTCTGCCATGATTCCAGTTCCAAGGGAACGTACACGTTACATTCAAAGGGTATTAAAGTGTGCGAGATGTGAATTTAAATTGTATTTATTTACAGCGGTATATTATGTCACACTTCAAAAATATAATGAATTACAAGTCTGTAGAGAACAGTGCGCTATTGCAGACTTATATCCTACTGAAGTTTTAATTACATTCTTGTAATAGCTATAGTCAGTCGTGAACTAAAGTAGGCATGAAACTCCAGGGCTGAAAATGACTCCCACTCCAGCCCTGGTTGAATGGAATTGAATTGAATTAAAGTTGAATAAACTTCAACTTTACTGTTCAGTGCACTGATGTCAGACTCATTTTGGATAATAAAGTTTATTGTTAAATTGTTAAATGCCCTTACATATATCTCTGTCACCATTATAAGTGTTTGATCAACACATTTGAGTGATCATTGCAAAAAATGTGTTTATGTATATATATTCTGTTTATGTATATACAGTATTCTATATATAGTACCAGTCAAAAGTTTGGACACACGAATGGGAAAGTGTCCAAAATTTTGACTGGTACTGTACTATAATATACACAAAGAATATCGGCCGATATATTGATATCAGCGGTTTTTTACACCCTAATATCGGTATCAGTATCGGCCCCCAAAAACCCATATCGGTCGGGCTCTGATTCATACCCAATCATACGGCCTTTCAATAAAATGTTTGCTCAGCTTCTGCAAATGGTTGCACAGAAATGAATGTAAAATGTGTTTGGACTGTGAGGTCAGAGCATCCCGGACTGATTATTTCAGGGACAAACAAAGAGGAATATGTAATGGATGTACAGTCAGCCAGTTATTTTCACAAAATAAACCCTGACTGCGTGATCGGGACCTGGCGCAAAGCTCATTACCAGATAAATAAATAAAGGGACATGAAATATCGATTTGAGTTGAAATGATTCAGTAATGTGAGAAGAGAGCAGAGAAGAGTGCAGCACCAATGAACAAAAAGTCCTGATCAATCTGTTAAGTGTTTATCTTGTGATAATGACCGTTTGACTGTTCATGAGTTACACAGATAATCACAGGTGCACTGGACTTTTTTTTTCTTGTTGAATAAGAGCAAGAAACAACTTGAGGTTCTTAGTTTCACTAAAACAAAGCAAAACTAAGTGTCTTTCAAAGATGTGATGCCTCTAACCTGACAAACTTGGGCAAATCCACCCTTGTGAATATATATATATATATATATATATATATATATATATATATA